TGACAAAATTATGCAATGTGAGCCCCAGCCACTACTAAACTTGACCAATTTGTTCTGAAAATTTAAATAATTTGGACCAATCAAAATGCGCTGATAGAAAAATCTTTTTTTTTTTCAGTTTTTTTGTGTTTCTTTTTTTCAATTTTCAATTATTTTTTCCTTTTTGTTTTTTGTTGCTATTTGCTTTTGTTTTCTATATGTCTCAACTTCCAAACTTAACCATTAACCGATAAATGTCTCTTCAAGGGTAAAGGCGCGGGGTTAAATGTTGGTGTGTGACTGTGATTCTTAATTCCTCATTGTAGAAAACCTGTTAAATTAGACTGCTCTGAATTGTGTGGTATTTTTCAAGCGACTTGCGCCAATGCCTTTTTCCTGAAATATGTTTAAGTATGAAGTGTGTTGTAAATTAGGACCGCAGATATCCTCATTTGCATGGGTGCTCAAATACATATTGGTAGATAGTGTATAAATTGCATGCGAAATCGCGTAAGTTATAATTTAATAAACCTTGTGTTTTATTATGAGAATTGTTATATTAACACAATTTAAGGATTCAATAAACAATATTAAGGAATCTGAAAATATTTATTTTAAATAACTGTTTTTGTCGCATTTTGAGCGGCTTTAATTAAACGAGAGTGTTAACTTAGCTTTACTCACAAGAACTCTAAATTTTATGGAAGATAAAAGATAATGTACTTTTGTGTTGGATGAAGCTGCTACAATAACACGAGAACGACTGGAGTAGTCATTTTTATGACAAATGAAATTTATTATGAATATTAGCACCCAGACAATATTTAAAGATTATATTCATACATTGATAACAATGTTTTGATACATCGATTAGGAAGGATTAAAAGAGCTTTGAAACCTTACAAAGAAAGTATTTTTCCACTGCGGCAATAGGAAAACAAATTACAAATTTACAATTCTAAAATTGAACAGCTTTCAATTCTGAATTAAACACGCAGTAATATTCTTAAACCATGGATGAGAAAAATGAAACTTTATATTAACAGCTTGGGAGGTAGTTCATATTAACATCGAGACTTAAAATCCAAAAAAGTGGAAAAACACGATGATCAGGGCCAAAACTATTCCTCCTACCACAATGGTACCTGCAATGAGAAATAGTCTCAATTCCGGATCTCTGCAATAAGAATTTCGTTGAGATCCTTCTTCGTCATCAACTGGTTCCATGGGACTGACTCGAGAAGAGATGAAGTGTCTCGGATTTTCTATAAACAGAAACAATTTATTGTCATTAAACAGAATTCACTTAGAAAGTTTTTTTTTAATGTCTAACCCATGAAAAGTTATTTTAATGCTCCCCTCGCATAAGATTTAAAATATATTATAAAAGTCTATTTGCACTGTAGCAAAGTTTTAAAATTTTTATTTTCCGAAATACTATAATTTGTAAAATTTAACTTTTAATGCAACATACATGTCTTGAATTTGACAGAAGAATCATTTTATTTATTTACATCTTCATTTATTTATTCATTTTGAAGATTCATTTGTTTAGCCATTTTTTTATTTATATATAACTATAGTTGATATTCGATCTTCGCATGGTGGTGAACGAAAGAATTCATAAATCAGCACTGAACAGCACTAAAAAATCGTGCACAAAATTGAAAAACAAAAACTTGCCGATTTTTTAGGCTCTCTTATGTAAATTAGTACCATTTTTCTATTAATTTTGAATTTTAGTACACATTATTTTACTTCAATTATCAGAATCTTCAATTATCAGAATCTTCAATTATCAGAATTAATTATCATTGGCGTCATAAGTAATATAGGTGTTTTTTTACGTTTATCCTTAACGAATTTGTATCAGTTCCCAGTTAGTTGTATAGATTGTATAGATGTGGAATAATATGTTTATCAATTTCCTCAATATATATTTTATAATTATTAATACGAATAACCTTTTTAAGCATTCTAAAATTTATAAATATCTTATATAATGTCTTGCTCTAAAAATAAATTTGTTAATTACTTGTCCACTCGTGTTTCGCAGAATCATTTACCAACTATTTAATTAAACTTTAACATTTCTCAAAATCTTTTTCCTTACGCTACCGAGTATATTATTTTTCCGTTAATATACTAATCAATTGTTTTAGTTATTTAATTTATGTTTTCCTTTAAAGTCAAACATATTTTTCATTATTGTCAAGTTAATACTGAAAATAAACTTAGAATTATTGCCAGTTAGCTAAGAATTAAAATTTGTTAGGAAATTAAAAATATTATGCTGATCAAAATTATTCGATGAGGAACAGCTGATTTTTTACTAAGCATACTTTTTTTTCTAAAGATAAAGATAAAGTTCTGATTGTCTTTTTCTATTGTTTTTTATTTGTTTGAGTAATGAAAAGTAAATGAGAATGTCTGCATAGCAAAAAAAAGCAGTTTGCTTTTTTTAAAGAACAAATAGATATGGACATACAATTTTATTTTGACGTTCAAACTTATTTTTGGCCCTCTAACTTTAAGAACTTTTAAAAGGCATAATATTGAAAACATTTGCTTAAATAGTTGCTAATATTTTTTCTCGACTCTAGCACAACTCAAAAAAATATTGCTATATCAGGAAAATAGCTCATTTTGAATTATTTTTATAAAACAGATATCTCATAGTTTTTTTATAAAGTAAATATCCTGAAATTTTCTGCAAAATCAAAAATATCAAGTATCCGACCCGGGCTGACACTTAATATAAACTGGTTCCTAAATTTTAGAGAACGTGCAAAAAATTCTTTTTTTGTTCTTTCATGAGAGCAATGAGGTAGCAAACATCATTGATGTAATGATCAAAATATTAGGGGGAAAAACAGAAGATTCTGCAGTTTAAATTATAAAAACAGCGAGTCTTAAGCCAATGAGAAAATTCTATTTTTACAATTTCTATCAGGGAAACTCTAATTGAAATTTTTGAAAGAAGCTTAGGATTGAGAGCTGAAATCATCCTTTTTATCTATTCCAAGTTTCACAGTCCAAATTCAGGTAGAATTTCAAGAAGGTATCACATATGACTATAGTTTCTGGCGTTATGAAAGACGCACACAGACTCACCATATTATTATAAATTTTTGATTATTATTTTATTACTACAGATTATCGAAATAAATAAGGGGGTGGTAAATATCAACGCTTAATAGCTTGTTATATAGTTAGAGAGCACGAATTTATAGTTTTTTAATGAAACAATTAGAGAAAGTATAAAAGATTTATTTTCATGTTTTGTAAATAACGAGGTTGATAGGGGAAATTAGCGTATTTTGAGTATGCTAATTAGAATATTAATTTTTCACAATATCAGTTATATAGTTTCAGATTTCAGAATATTATTTTTATGGCATGTGCCTCCTATTTAGAAGGTGGAGTAAAAGAAATTCAAAATACCTTTCCTATCATCATCCTATATAACAAAACCTGTTTATTTCTTTTTCAAAGACAGATGATTATTTTTCAAATCAAGGTAATCATTCACTTAGGATAAACATATAACAAAAAGAGCTTACCTAAAACTACTCTAATTACATATTTTATTAATAAATTTGATGATTTGAAAGTATCAACTTTAAAAAATATAAATAATTAATGAGAAGAAGTTACTGGCATTAGTGAAGCAAGGGGCAAAACCTTCTAGTGTTATTAGAAATGACGGGAAAAAATCAAGTAACTGATGAATCAATTTTGAATTTTTGAATTTTTTATAATTGCATCCAAGTTAGTAATAAGAGCTTTATATATATACATGCACACTCACACACACACACACACACACACACATACACAAACAATGGTGACCATGTGTANTATATGTTCTAAAAACATCAAACAAACACACACACACATATATATATATATTTATGTATATGAAATTTTTTTTATAGCTGTTGTGAGAAAGAATATTCTTATTCCTTCTCAAGTAAGTTGAGCATCTTGCATCAGATAGATACGATCTCCCGATAGGGGAATCGCCTATAAAACAGGCTGTGCAAATGCCTGTGGAGACTGTATGGTAAATTTCAATTTTCACGTGCTTGCAGAGCGATGCGTGTATTCCTTTTTTTACACATTGCACTGAGAGTGCATGTTGTCTACATTATAATTTATATTTTAATAAAACTTTATTTTCCGCTAGTTGTTTGTCTTTTTCAAGTTCAACAATCAACAATTTTCATCATAGTTTGTGTTCTGATCTAAGTTTACCTAAGTTATTAAGACCTAAGGTATATTAAATATTAATACAAAAAATGTAAGAAAATATATCACTTACTTATAAAACATATATATAGACTTACATATATTACATATGTATAGAAACTGTACAATCACACATGCCACACTTGCCTCATACTTCCAAAAATAGTTATTTTATGATTTTTTGAAGCTATGATTTCATGGCTGAGAAATGAGCAAATGTTAAAATTGAAACATAGCTTTAGACCAGTTTAGTCATCAGATTGTCACGTTATTTTCTATATTTTCAGCACGTTTTGAGATAGATTTTTAAATTTTAAAAGAAATATTGAAAAATGCATTTAAAAATTCCTTTTTTTTCAATATTGTAGTTACGTTGCATTATTTCACTTTCAATTGCTCTTGAAATGTGTATCGTAAAAACCTAAATAGCTAAATGCCAGAGATAAACTGTAAATCATCAATTTTATATAGATTCAAACCAAAACAAATGAATTTTAAAAATTTAAGTTAAAATTTAGGCCAGATTTGGTGCATTGAATTGTCACTTCTCGTTTCTTTAATCAGTCATATCTTGCCTTACGCTCATCAAAACTTAAATTACAATATTTTTAGATGCTATTAAAAAGTTTTAAAAAAATTCATTAATTTTCAGAATATAGAATATTTCAACATTGGCTTTCTTCTCAGTATAAAGTCGATATATTGTCATATGCTATGTTTTAAGATTCATAGAAGATTTTTAAAATGTTGATATATAAATGTCTTACCCTGTCGTAATGGAATTTCAGTCTGAAGTGAAGTATAGTGATCTACTATTTGCGCTTCAGGGGAGTTAACTGTAAAAAGTATAGTCAATCACTTTTAATAAATACTAAAGTAAACTTAGTTTAAATTACTTATTATGCCTAAATTAAAACTATATTTAAATAGCCATTAAAAAGAGAGAAAAACGAAAGCAAGTTAAAGATTTACCTGCAGATGTCGCAGGTGTTGATGATAAGTCATCTTCTTGAAGCCTGTAACATTATACTTAAATGTATCAAAAACTAAAGAAACATTCTTTGAATTATATAGTCATCATTAGAAAAATAGGGTAACCTATCTAATGAAAGTATGAGCATTAAGTTATTATAATTCAAGGAAGAGTTAGTGATTCTGTGTTTCCTTTCTAAAGCCAAAACTGTTCATGCTAAGGCTTTCAAGTTTGGATAACGGATTCGAGGGAAAATATTTACCTTCTATCCTAAAAATCCTTATAAAGTTTAGATGTTATAAGAGATGTTGTAATGTTAGATGTCATGATGAGTTAAATAATATAAATGTTATGATTTATACTGGAAACATCTAATCTCTTTCTCGTAGTTCTCAACTTCTCTTTATTATTTTTATTGGTATACGTGTCGGAATGCAATGTCTAATCTCTTATAACTTAATAACCATTTGAGCTGAGGTTGAGATTTGAAATTTTATATCTGACAAAATCAAATACAAATTTCTATTAGTTTGTTCAGGAGAGATGTTTTATTTATGAAGTTTTCGTCTGAGTTTAGCATTAGACATTGTTTTAAATCAAAGTATAGACGAGTCTGTTATGAGTTAATTGCACGTTCGTTAATGATATTTTTCAGAATTTGAAATATCATCATGGATCAACCTTTACACAACCTAATTAATATCTCGAAAGCTCTCTGAAATCGCCTCTTTATTTTGTTTATTATTCGTTTTTTTAAACTTAATTTTATATACTTAAGTATTTAAAAAAAATCATTGAAATAAAGAAAAATGAGTTCTGCTCTACATCTAATAACTTAAAGCAACCAAGAATAATAAGAGTTAAAATCAAGAACTGTTTTGACTAAAATTACTGAAGAAAATTGTACAAAAATCGTTAATAAAAAATGGACAGAATTTATGTTTTAAATTGTCGCAGTACCTACTTCTCAAATTGTGTATTGTTGATTATTTGCATTTTTTCGGTTATTTGCATTATTGAAGAGCTGGCATTCAACACGAGCCATAGCATCATTTACTAAGCTGAAAGACAAAGATTTCGGTAGTTAATCTTTAATGCAATCAGTTGAACCTCAAAAAAAAAGTTTTTTTTTCTGTTTTAATTTAATATCGTAAAGTCTCTGAGAAGATTATGGAACAATTATGAATACAAGGAGTAGAAATATTTATTTACTCTTTCGGTATACTCGTATGCATTTGAGTTTTGTACAAGATTTTGAAGAGTTGCTTCATATAAGTTTATCCTTTTTACCTCGTACCGTATGAATGACGGGTATACTGCAAAAATTACGGATTAAAGTACGGGGACATCTACCAGCACCCAGGATAATTTTTTACCGTAAATTTAATTTTTACCGTGAAATATTCAAAAAAAATCTGACCAAAAAAAATTAGACAAAAATTTGACATACCGTTATTTTTACAGTAATGTTTATTATAAAATAACTGAATTATTGCAGTTAAAGAATTATTACTGCAAAATTATATGGCATAAAATGTTATGGTTAAAAGGAATTTTCAGGTAAAATTAATTTCACGGATGATGCAAGCAGTGTGCCGATACATTTTACCTTAATTTGATCTGGAATCTTTTACAGTTTATTTAGCTAGTATAAAAGTAAATCTCTTAGAATAATAAATAATTTTCGAACGGAAGAAATTCAACATACATCCGATTCTGTATTCTGAAATAAGATTTATACTGTATAATTAACTTTAATGTTCATATATAATTTGAAGGAAAGGATCAGGTGGTATTCCGAAGATTTTAAAAATTTCGTTTAAGAAGTGCACCTATAGATGAAACTAATCACAGAATTTCATGGAGAAATGTTTAGGATTAAAATAAAATTTAAAAAAAACTACATTTTTTTATCAATTTAAAAAAGAAAGTTTGGGAAGGACTTCTTACCATATTAGCAAAAAATGACGTGATTCAGTTACATGAATGTTACTGCAATAAGTTGACAGATTATAATATATTATAGAAAAATATAGAAAATTTATGTAATTTATTAGGACATAAAGTAGAGAAAAAATATAACTCTTTTAATTAGGATGTTTTTCCTGAATGTTTTATCAGAGTTCAAAATTTATTGAATAACTTATCGTACACTTTTATGACACAGCGAATAACATCATACATTTTACAATATAGAACAAATAAATCGAAAAATATTTTTGAATACAGAACAAAAATGTTATCTAAAAATCAAATGTAGTCAAATAGGCCTATAACAAGAATGTAGGGACAGTTTGCGCGTAATCAGAACGATCGAAATTATTAAGCCTGAAATCAAGTATAGTATAGTCTAACCTCGCTAATAACAATAATGTAAGGTTCGACGCAATTCGTTCTCGATCTATAAAAATTATACCCAAATTCATGTTGTTGCTTTATTTATTTTACTGTTCCTCCATTAATTATAAAGAGGAAAAAAACAGTCTTTTTACTAAATTTTTCAGCAATTATGAAGGACGTTACGTATTGACAACTGTTAATACAATTATTTTTATTCCTTTTCAGGAAGGAATTAAAAAATGCATTAACTAAGGTACACAAATTTTTTTTTTTAGTATTTAAGCTAAGGTAAAACAAAAACACTATTTAAAGATGAATGCCTTTTAATGAATGACTACTCAGAAAGATGAGACAGAAAATATCAACGAATGTCTATTAACGAATAACTACTGAGAAAAATGGGAAAACATCAATGAATGACTACTACTATTGGACAGATGACATCTAACCAATGGTTACTCTGTAAGACTATGAGACTGAGAACATCGTTGACAACTCTTAACGATATGTCTAAAAATAACAACATTTGAATTTTACATTTTTAACTTCTGTTTTCGTCAATAACTTCTATTTTAGTACGAAAATCAAACAGTTATACTTCTAAGTATGATATTTTAAATTAAGCAAATCTTACGCCATCGGGCAGCTGGGCTGATTAACTTTGGGCTTCATCTTCACCAGTTGAAATAGTCTCTCTAGTTCTCCAGTTGAATAGTTCTCTTGGGACTAAAATTACAGAAAAATGAATAAATAAATGAACATCACAGAAATACTTTTTTTTAAAAAAAATTTTGGAAACTTGTTTTAGGTTACCTAAAGCATCAACGTAATTCCTACTTTGATTTGAGTAATTATTTCTGAGGTTACCGCTTTCCTATTTGTAAGACCGCTTTTACCTCATGAATAAAAAGAACTCTTAACATACATATATATATATATATATATATTTATATNTAATATATATATATATACAAACTGTTCCTTTACCATTCATTACAGTAGTGCACGTACGTTTAAAAAATTTATTACCACTAGGAAATAGATGCATTTTGCAAAAGATCATATAAGATAAAAGCATTATAAGTCCAATTTAAAATTGTTTGTGGATCACTTTTTGTAGAGCTTATAAATAAATATGAAGAATAAATATGAAGTTTACCGAAATTTGCACTATTTTCTAAAAATCAACTAAGTTTTTGTTATTATTTTACTAAACAACCTGTAAAAAGTGTTATATTCTACAAGATCACATCACAGAAATGAGAATCACTTTATGATGCACGAAATGATATAATGTATTATACTATGATACTTCTTAACTGCATGCTGAAGCTCTTTCAAAGCTTCGCATGAAGACTTCGAAAAAAATTCAAACGTAATTTTACTCAATGTTAGGTTTTTACAAATGCAAAAAAAATGAAAATTAGTTTTTGAAAATTTTGAGTCCAACTCCAAGAAAACATAGAAAAAATCAAAACACACAATTTTTCTAAGAGACAATGACATAATAAAAATATTTTTTATAAAAGGGAATTGTTTTCTCCATTCCTTCATCTTGTATTCCCTCTTCTCATTCTTTACAAATAAGTGAACAATCTATTCAATTGACTACAGAAAACCTATTTAAAATGCTAAATAACCATAACAATTAATTTTTCTGTATTCCTTTCTTGGTTTTCACTAAAAATTAAAACATCAGAATAATTTGAAAAATTAGAAAAAAAAAGAATTATTATTTAAACATATTTGTAATTAAAAGTGATTCTTTGCTTTTGGTAATAAAACTATATTAAAATCAATACCACTTTTTTAATTAAATTTTAGTGCTTTAAAATGTTACTCGAATGATTTGTAAATATTCATATAAAATTGAATTCAATATTTTTCAATTTTTTCTCGTTGAAAATATAAATTTATTAGAGTTTAAATAGTTTTGTAAAAAGGTTTTACTTTTCAAATTCATTAAGGAAGGAATGGGATTTTGTAATTTTTTATGGAAGAGTAACATCAACTTTGCATTTTAGATGATGTTATTGGTTTATATCATCCTTCTTCATTTTACACATTGTAATTTTTCATTTACGAACAAAAGTTTGTTTTCCGAGCCATGAAAGCAAAAATATTAACTTGCATTTTGAGTAACATCACTTGTTAATTTTTTGGTTTGTTTGTTTTGCTTCTCATATATTGCATATGAATGTATTTCTTCCATATTATATGCATTGTTTTTTTTTCAAATTGTGCTTTACTACATGAATAATAATTTTTTTTAAATTTTATCCAGAGAAAAACTCTTACATAAATGTAGGCATGCACTCTGAAAAAACCTTATATTACATTCATGTATATTTTGTTCAGTTTTAATTTAGTTTCATATGGATACAAAAAATATTCATTTTATTTGTGCTATTATTGTTTGTTTGCTTACTGGCAACTCATATTTTCATGCGCATTAGAATTAATTTCAAAAACAGGCTTCATTTCAAAAACAGGTTTCAAATCTAGCACATTTTAGCATTATATTCTAACTAATTCTTTCAATTAACTGTTATTTTGTTAATTGCGTATTATTTTTTGCACGATAAATATAATTTACTTTAAAATATTTTTAGTTTACCTTAACATCAAAAGTAAGTTCAACTATACAGCAAAATGCTTTACACTGTACTTAATATTCTATTAAAAAAGGACTTATTAAAAAAAAAAAACTTTCTATTAAAAAATTATTTCCATTAAAAAAGACCTTTTAGTTGCTGTAATTATAAATCTTACTATTACTAATTTTTTATGCCTTTATACTAAAGCAAATAATTAATAAAATATTTCCCTTTTTTCTGTAAAAATAATTTTATATTTTACTTACAGTACAGTATTTCACTTACAGTACAGTTACTGTACCGTATTTTACTTAAACAAAATTTTAAAATAATACTTAAGGAAAATTTAACCGCAACTGCAATTTAAATGTAAAAAACTGTTACTTGTAACTCACTAACTCTGAAAAAACGTATATATTTCATAGTATTTTTAGCTAACATTGTAATTGATGTAATGTCATTTCCTACACTAGTTACTTACGCAATAAAATTTAAAGTTGATATAAATATTCATGACAAAATCTGCCGAATAGTATATACAATAGATAGTTTTATAACTATTAAAATGGTTCTGAATCAACCTCTAAAGAGTCCCTAAACTTGCTATGTTAACATCAATATTCACTAGATATCAGAGTACTATTTTTTTAAAAAATTTCTCTCTTAAATATTTTATAGGATTTTTTTCTTCTATGCTTCAGAAAATAAAATATTAAGAGTCGCTTAAATAAATATGCTATACTTGCTACTGTCCTTAAAATTCTGAAAACTACTGTTTATTATACTACTAAAAATACTTGTGCTATGCAGAAACAATACTTTAGACTCATTTTTAAATTAAATTTAAAAAAAAAATTTGTTTGTTCACTTAAAATGAAGGAGTGAAAATCACTCAACTTGAGTGGTATTTCACTCTTTCATCTAGAAAAAAGGAGCCTTCTCATCTTGAGAGAAAATCACTCAAGTGAAAGAGTGATACGGAAATCACTCAAGTTTGAGTGAAAAAATTTCACTCAAACATGAGTAATTTTCAGTATCACTTGAGAGGATAGTGTTCACTAAAACTTGAATGATTTTCAATTGTTTTTGATAGATTATATGTATCACTTGATTGGGTCCTTTTAATTTGAATTTCAATCATTTTTCATTCATAATTGGCATCATTTAAGTGTTATTTATTCTCTTTACTTAAGTTTCATTTAAATCACATTTGAATTAAACTAATCGTTTTCAGACTATTCACTGTATCTTTTAATGCCTATCATAAATAAGATGAAAAGAAAAATATTTTTAGCATGTGTAATAGAAATAGTTTATCAGCATTCATTTCTTTTAAATTTCATCAATGGTGTGTTCGGTAATTGATAAGTTTTTTTTTTTAAATTTTAAAACTAGACAGTGATAGTTGATTAAAAAAGTGAAAGCTTAGTAATTCATTTGTATTTCACGATGTGCTGAATATAATTGCAAGATAATACTCTTTAGCGATCGAAAGCTTTGTGACAAACTTAAGCACAAAATTTTAAGTTAAAAATAACTTCTTGTAATAATACAAATGTTTTATTAACAGTTTACCTAATTTTTCATTTCATTTCGGCATTCAAAAAGTAATTAAAGAGACTTCATTAGTACGTTTTATCATACTTAACCATTTCCATCCTAGTTCTTAAGTACATAACTTTGATAATTTTTCTACATTTCATTTTTTTTGGATGGTAACTTTTCAAGTTATTACTTGAATTATTAAAGATTTGCAAAAGTATACTTAAAAAAATATTTTTAGATATTGGTGACAGGTAAGAGCATAGCGTCTTTTTAACAGGGTACCCACTCAATTTCTGAAAAAGGTTCCCTGACTTTTCCAGGTAAATTACAACTAAAATCAAGACCATATTTTATCTATATCATTAAATTTTTCATAAGAAAAATTTTATTCTTTTATTTGAAATGGCAAATATTAGATTTTCTGTGCAAAAAATAATATTATTAAATGAGGATGGAAACATTTCAGATTGACTAAAATGTAAAATATTTTAAACCAATAATTGTAATAAATATAGAATTTTTTAACTCGATTCTCAATAACTAACTACTGTTGCTGACAATTTTAAGTCAGGTTATTTTCCAGATATAAAATAGGCATTCTCCAGGATTGCAATTTGCCCTGACTATTCCTAGAGTTTTGGAGCTAAAATAAATTTCCCTGACAATTTCAGGTTTTCAATGTTTTAATCGTTCATTTGTTTAATTGTAATTTACAAATGAACTGAATGCAATTTAATTGTATTAAAAAACATAATAGTATCTTTGGTAATTTTTAAACATGCTTTTATATAACGTTTATGCATGTGTAACAAAGCTCTAAAAATCACATTAAGTCATCAATAATAATTAGTGAAAATAAGTAGCTTTCATGACAGCAAAATCTTGCAGTTCTTAGTTTTTAATTCTTTATCACTTTATAAAATGTCTTCTCGAAGTAGAGTAGTCAGCATCTTTGCAAAACGAATTGGTGTCTGAAAACTATGATTCAACTGCAAAGGGTTAAGACTTTTAGCAGAAAATGTCATAATGCATTAGTGAATAAGACAACTAAATTACGAGAAAAAAAATATATTTCATTGTATATGTTTATTTATACATATATTCTTTATGTGGTATATAGTAGATTATTTAAGTTTTCTATAGTGTTTTTAGAAGCACCTTTTTCTGCTTATAGAGCATAAATTGACGTAACGATAAGAACATAGAGCTTGATTTACTGAACATTACATTCAAAACAAAGTGACTCTTAAACAAAAAGTCAATTGCTCTTTTGGAGCAATTGTCAACATCTACAATCATCTTATCCAATATAAGAAAATTCTCTGTTTGCTTTTTCCTTTCACAGACGAGCTGTGGGCAATCAATTTTAATTAGCTCTTCATCAAAATTCTCATTTTGCTGAAAAAAAAACATTTACGCATCATGTAGACAGTTTTTAAAACATAAATACTAATTTTGATGCATTCTTTTACTAAAAAACTCCAAATTAATGACTTTCCCCGTCTTTATACTAATAAAATACAAACTGTTCCAGCTAAACATTCGAAATACTTTTAAAATCTTAAAAATTTTTGTAAACTTGAAA